GCTCCGACCCAGTTCAAGCTCTGACCCATTTTTCTTAGTTTTTTCTGACTTCCGATTTATCCGATTCGAGCCGATATTAGTTAAAATGGCTTGAACCCTTCTCCGTGAATTATATATGTTTAATGAGATGATATAAAAATGATGATTTGAGGATTTGAATGTTGTGTGAATTTATCGGGATTTTACGAGCTTGAAGCGATGATTTTTAAATCTTGGTTTATATAAATGATTAAATCGTGAATTTAATTTTGTAAATCATGTTAAGTAGTCTTGAGGTTGGGGTTAAAATTTGGTGAATTTTCGGGTTCGTTTGACAAGCAAACCAATTTTACGTGTAATTGACCGGTTGAAACGATTAATAATTGAATGAGTTATAGATTGAGTTTTGGTGTGATACTTTGACCATAGATCATGTACGTGATTATGATGCTATGTTTCGAATTTCGTAATTTTTGGACTCCGTTTGATATAAATTAAAAATCGAGACGTTAGCCTCGTTTGCAATAATTGTATGAAAATTAGCCGGATATGATTTAGATGCAGTTGTTGGATGTAAATCCATATAAATCACATATAAATTAGTGTTTTAAATATCGGAATAAGTTAGAATTTTCAAGAATCAGAAATCCTAGTTTTATTCAGTTCCGATAACTGGGTAATTTTTGGGACCGAGTTTAATCGACCAAACCCTAGTGCCTTTTAAATATTTTTAGACATCATAACATTTTTTCTTAGCGCGTTCGTCATCCCGAACACGTGTTCGACTCTCTCTTGACCATTGGAGCCGAACCACTGAGTGCGTGACCATGCACCGAGTCCGAGCCAAACCACCGAGTGTGTGCCCATGCACCGACTCCATCTGATCTACCGTCTACGCGCCGTTTCCGTTAGCCGGGGCACCGATTCAAACTCATGCACCGGATAAGCCGTGTAATTCTCTTTATGAAAGTAAAAAGAAGTACATTAAAATTGAAACGATTAAGCTCAAATGGTATCATGCTTCAAATTAACGAGTTTTGATCTCTCGAATATCCAATTCTCTAATTAATTTTTTTTTATAGCGTTCTCTATTTCTTTTTGACAAATAGGTCAGCAGCCGTTGACGTTTTCCCAAAATTTTTCGCAAACCTCTCTGGAATGAAAAGTCTTTTTTATGTACTTTCAAATGTGAAGACAGTTTCGGTGAAACTGAATATTTGAAATTCAACAGACCATCTAGTTTCTTTGTTTTCTTTTTGAGAAATAACCAAAATGAATGCCATAAAAAAACCCTTCCTTTTTTACATTACATATATGGATTTTATCGATCATTAACAATAATACCATCAAATTTTTTATTTCTTTGCGAACTCCAATTTTTTAAAATTCTTTAACTCAACTAATCCAATTTGAAAATTGGATTAATTGAGTTAAATAATTTGAATTTAGAATTCAAATAGATTAAACGAAAAAATAAAATTGATTAAATGAAAAAAGTTCTTCAAAAAGTTCTAAGGTTTTCCTTTCAATCATGGATACAGATATATCCTTAACATACTGAAACGACTGCCATTTTTCGTATAAAACAAATAACGATTCATACAATCTAAATCTTCTAATCGATAATTAGGCCAAAGAAAAAGTTTTAATTTCAGTACTTGATTTTTCTCTCTATCAAGATGCTTATTGTCACGAGAGTGCTGCTTTTTTTCTTCTTTTCATTTTAAAATACTCGATTTCTATCTATATCATTTTTAGTCTTTGGTTCGGGTTTGGAACAAATTAGAATTCTCAATT